CAGTTCTAACCTGATTTACAATGATTTCTATTTGATTGTTTGTCTACGTAAGCTCCTCCTCTTATCAGGAGATGTTGAACTCAATCCTGGTCCTATGATTGATGATCAACCATCTTGTCTCTTATTTGCAAAGTGTCTTAAACCACTTGTTGACTGGAAACCATTTGCTCTTTGTCTTCCTGGAATAACACAATCTGATGTCAGTATAATCAATAAAACAAAAAGAAATGCTCACCTCATGAAAATGGCTTTACATAAGAGATGGTTACAAGCTAATCCTACAGCATCATGGAGAGATGTCATTAATGCTTTGAAACAATGTAAAGAGTATGAAATATCAAATAATATTGAACATCAACTGAAATGGTCTACAGAAACTGATAGTAATATGGAAATGACAATCAGTAACAGAGATGCTGCATCAACAGAGCTCACTGGAAGTAGTTTTAATGATAACATTGAAGCCAAGACTGCTGGTCCTCTAACAGCAGTAACAGGTAAGCTTATCTTAATACATCACTTATTAACTGTAACTGATACACTATAACCACAGGTAATCCAAAGGATGTATTAATGACTCATTTTAGTAAACTCACTCATGAAGTCTCAAGTAATATTTATGAAGTAGCAACTGAACTACATACTAAAAGATTGATACCACAACAAGCTTTTGATGATATACTTGTAATGGGAGTAATGACTGATTATACTAAAGCAATGAAACTGATGAGCACATTACTGAGACAATTAGAATCCTCTCTTAATCAAAAGCAGTATCTTATTGATATATGTCATGCATTAATAAACCAACAACATCATACACTAACAGACGTTGCTACTTCTATATTACACCAGTTAGGTAAGGCATGTGTATAAGGTATCAGTGATCAATGTTCCCTACACATCACATGTAGGTCAGTCTGTGCCTGATAATGTCAGCTCAAATACTGTATTACCATCACCAGTTGATGAAGCATCCAATGCTGTAGTACTAGTTAGTAATATAAAAGGTAATAAATATTTATAATGTATGTACTAGACTAGTACATGTGTTTAAGATGTACATGTACATGTGCATTTTTGGTGGTGTATTATCTATATGTGTTGATCAATAGGTCAGTCTGATGTAGCTAATTTAAAACCCATTAGTTCATTGCCTGATGATGTTCAAGGATATGCTGAAAATATGAGACAACACTATAAACACCAACCTATTGTTGCTACAGACTGGCCACCAAGAATTGGAAACAATTACTTTGGAAGATTAGCATTAGTTCAAAAACAAGACTCAAGTATGCAAACAAAATCAGCTTGGCATTTGTTAAAAGGACAAGTTGATAAAATTGTTCAACTAACTGAAAATGAAGAGATAAGTGTTGAAGATGTCCTTCGACCCACAGATAGTTCTCTGTCTCTCAGAGTAGTAATAGACGGTCCTCCTGGTATTGGCAAGACAACACTCTGTCGTAAACTATTAAATATGTGGTCTAATGGAACACTTGTACCCCAAAAGTATGAGTTGGTACTTTACTGCCCTTTAAGGAATAGCAAAATAGCTATGGCAAAAACACTATCTGACTTGTTTGAGTATAGGCGTTACGAAGTTCCCAAGGTATCTGAATGGTTTGAGAAGAAAAATGGAGAAGGATTACTGATAATCTTTGATGGTTGGGATGAACTAAGTGAACAACTCAGGCAGTCTTCTTTAGCTGCTGTTATCATTCACAGAAAGCAGTTAGACCAATGTTCATTAATTGTTACCTCTCGTAGCTATGCCTCCTCTTCACTTTTGAAAATAGATACTCTCAGTAGACATGTTCAGGTCATTGGGTTTTCTGAGGAAGAAGTATCAACAGTAATTATACAAACACTTCAAAAAGATCCAAAACTAGCACAACAAATTATTGAATACTTACATCTCAATGATGATGATGCTGATAGTGAAAGTGTTGATGAAGCAATTGAATTACCAGCAGATGAAGACTCACAATTAGCAGTGAAACTCATTAATGATCTTAAAATGAGAGATGATGTTCGATCATTGTGTTACATACCACTTGTCTGTTCCATGGTTATCTTAGTTTATTGTAAGGAAGGAGGACACTTACCAACAACACTAACTCAACTGTATGAGAACTTTATTCTACAAACAATCAGAAGACACGTGGAAATAAAACCAAGACATCACATTAACCCACGTACTTTAGGTAGTCTTTCTTCATTGCCATCAATATTAGTTAAACCTTTACAAGAGATGTGTCAATTAGCTTATACTAACCTGGCTATTACAAAAATGACGTTTTCTTCACATCAACTACAGTCACTGAGTGAGGCAGTCAAGGAAGACTATCTCGGATTGATGACAGCATTCATAGAATATGATGAGGAGAAGTATCAATTTCTTCACTTGAGTATACAGGAATTTTTAGCTGCATGGTGGTTAGCTAAGTTTGAGAAAAGGATAGAAGTGTTTAAAGATCACTTTGATGATGATCACTTTCGAATGTGTCTGAGATTTGTGGCAGGTCTAACTCACCTTGAACATGAGAGGTATCAACAGTATTTTAATAAACAACAACTTGACTTACAGTGTAAGAGGAAACCATTGTTTGGATTTGAGGCATGTCATTTCTCTTACTTCTACCAAAATCCAGATATTAAACAGGTACTCTATAATCATGTCATATCTGATAATTTTGACAATATTTTCATTCTTCTTCTTCAAATTCTGTATGAATCACAGAATGCAAAATTGTGTCAAGTTTGGGCACAATCCATCAACAACCACTCACTCTGTCTAGTTAGAAACAGTCAATCATTATCATTGTTTGACTGGTTGTGTCTCAGTTATTGTATAAACAATTCCAACACAACATGGAATCACTTACACTTGGAGACTGTAGAAAATCAGGATCTATCACTTTTAACTAGTGGACTAACCAATAATTCACTACAGTGTAAGAGACTGGAGGTAGAGTTGCGTACACCTACTGATGAATTAATACATAAATTATTACTACCATCACTTCTTTATAATATACAAGAGTGCTACTGTCATCTAAGTGGAGAAGATTTTGTTCCCTGTAGTACATTGCTACAGTTCATAAACCTTCCTCAATTGAAGATTCTTCACTTAAAATTAATTGTGTCAACAATTGAAGATACATACTACACAGACAAGTGCACTGAACTTGAGAAATGCATAGAAATGAATTCAACACTACAAGAAATGAAGTTTGAGTATAGTGGAGGGAAGGAAATAACAAGTACTGTCATAAGTGTCATTATAGGAATAACAAGAAATAAAAAAATGGTTTCATTATCACTACCGGTGATATTAGCAGTTGATTATTATGATGGTCCTACTGTACCTGGTCCAGTAATAGAGCAGATATTAAAGGACAACAACACATTGCAAGCTCTTTCACTGAACATATCTGATATACTCCTACCATCATCACTGAATATAGTAGAGGTGAACACACCACTGACTGCTCTTGAGATAGGAGAGGAGAGTGGTAAACTGATGACATCATCACTCCTTCCACATATCAAAGGATTACGCTGTTTGATACTACATGATCCATACCCACCACATCTTCTATTTCTCTCTCATCCCAGTCTACACACACTTACATTGCCACTAGACACAGCTGAGAGTGCTATTGAACTATTTACTATTCTACAAACCAATACTACACTTAAAGCTTTGAGTTTTGAGATAAAGGAGAAGAGAGTTTATACTAGCAGTATGGGTACTAGTCTACGAAACATGCTAGCACAAAACCGAACACTAAAATATGGGGAGATCAATAATATCTTTCCTAGTTCATTCCTGTCCTTCCTAACAATTGGTCTCAGAAGGAACACCAGTTTACAGCAGTTGAGTGTATCCGTTTCTCTGCCTATTAATGAAGGGATTAGAACATTTATTGATGTCATTTCTCAAAGGAATAATCTCACAGAACTTGAAGTGAAATTCAAATTAGATCAGTCACACAGCAACTGTAGTGAGGAAGAGAAGGAACAAATAATGACTTTATTGTTTTATGAACAGGTACTACCTACTGTTACTAACATGTTACAGTCAAATACAGCCATCAGACTACTGAGGATAGAGTATGAAGATGTTAATGAAGAGTCATCTCAGCCTAACTGGATAGAACTAGTACAACATTTATGTAAAGCTATCTTCAGTCATCCATCACTTGAATACATAAGAATTTTTACTGGATACTCTTTTCCTCCACTCCTGAAGGATCTAAAAGATCAAAAGAAGACATGGATTAATAGATATAGGAAAGAACAAACAAGCAATCTGGTACCAATAGTGGATTTGGTATAAGTAGCAATTTTTATTTTATAATAGTACAATAACCTGACTCTTGTGTAGTGCAATAATATCTTCTGCTCTTTCTCCTCATTCTTGTGCCTCCTGCTCTTTTTTTATAATTGTGTTTCTCTCTGGCCTTAGGCCTTTTCGCTAACTTCTTTATTATTTTTTCAGTCAATTTCTAGTTTATTTTGCACGGCCTTTTTGTCTTGCCATATTAGTTGTTATACTTGATAAAATTGTGGGATAGATATTATTCATTATTATTGACAGTAATAAGTGTGTTTTGTATTTTTAGTTAGAATAAAAAAGAGTAGCCAAATCACGATAATATCATTTGTCTTTTTATGATGCAACATCATGCAACTATATTAAGTGTTATAAATCACACCTCATAGTAATAAAGATAATTGACATAAAAAAAATATTGACACAATCAACAGTTACTAACTAAAAGAACAATAAGTTCAAATTGATAATACTAATAATTGTCATTCTTTCTTATTATTGTTACTACTTTCTTCTTTATTTCGTTTTCTTACTGATGCATTGTTAATGGCCCTAGAGACTGGCTTCTCATCCACAAGATAGTATTCTCCAAGTTCACTAAATGTAACATTTCCTTGTATCATCGTGTCATGATCAATAAAATGATCCACTCCTATTGATATTGGGAGATTAGCTTGAGCGTTTCTGCTTTGCCAATCCTGTAAAACTTTTTCTCTGTTCTTTTTGGCTTTCCTAAGTAGAAGAACCGTTTAAAAATAGAAGCAAAGGTATAGAGTAAGGGACTCTTGAATATTCAACTATACAATTAGAGTTATTAATAACTGGTTAATGAAATCACAGACATTTGCAAGTAAACACATTGGGCATGCATTTACATGTACATGTAATTCATAGGCTACCATATGGCTAGTAAATTTCGAGGGCATGAAATTTTGTGTTTTAGTGACAAACTCTTAATTTTTCAATTTTGAAGGGGTTAAATTTCACGTCAAGGGGGTTAAATTTCACGTTTTTGCCCATGCACTTGCATTAAGTCATATATTTTCACATGCTGTGCATGTGCAGTGAGCATTCCCATGGTAGTAACTTTAAAGGTTAAGAAGTCACCCACAAAATTTAATATCCCACGGAATTTTATACCCGCATGGTATATTATGTAATAAACAAAAATCAAATAATTCATACTTTACGTGTACATGTACATCTGAATCATCTGATTAACAATTAAGTCACCAGCTATACTGTACAGTAACCCAATTACAATGTACATATATTGTAACACTCACCAAACTCTATATATGATCCAACCAATACACACACCAATGCCCATAAACACTGGCAGGTAGAAGAAAGGCCAATAGAAATAAGTGATACTATCATTAGAAGGTAACTCCGTCCCAAAATTACTGGGTATTGAAGTCCCTGAATAAGGATTTAAAAGCTCCTGTAGCGATGATGGTGAGCGAAGTATGAACAGGAGACAATAGTCAAAGAGAACGACAGCCTCAATAATATTCTGAATGGCATACTTGTATGGGCGTACATATATGTGTAAAAATAATAGGAATGCTAGCAGATACACAGGAGCAACCTATGAAAGGAATGACAATGAAAAATAGTAAAAAAGAGGTATTGTGTAGCAGGAAATTTTTGTTGAGTGCTGCAGTGTAATTTTCATTTGTTTCGTTAGTCATAAGTTTTAACAAAAATTTTAGACAATGAAAGTTTAAAATTAAGTGGGTGTGACTGAGTTAATGATTACTGTTAATCAATGAAAATTATTAACGAAACTATCTTGTAAGGCCTGCTTGGATGGACAAAAAATTTTATGGCAACGAAAATTTTCTTCTATATGGTATTATCATACATTATGTATCAAGCAATTATTCTAATCAACATACTGTTCTTCCTGGTAGTCCAATTGCAATTCCTATCAGGAGCATACGACTGAATAGTTCAATGCCACCCCACCATGAACAATGGGATCTGTATCCAGCCTTCAGTGCATCAATAGCACTTATCAGTATGGGGTATCTTTCCTAGCAAGAAATTAGATTGTTGAAATTGTTATAATAGTATAGCTACAGACAATGTTATACACTAAAACACACTGGTAATTGTGCATGTATACTTTTGCAAAATTTTAATCAGCTTTAAAATTTTTTAAAATCTGATTTCAGTTGGAATCAGTTTAAAATTTCTACATAACCTAAAGACATGTATACGCAACAAGAAAATGAAAATTCTCTCCTTTCATTATTGGAAAAATTTTGGCCAATGACCCTGTACTATTATAGTACAGGGACATTGACCTGATTTCGGAGCAACTGTAAAAAATTTTTTAAAATCCACTTTTGATTGGAATGAGCTGAAACTTTGTAAACAACATAAGTACATATATTTGTATTGGGAAAAGCACAAAAATGAAATATTTTTCTGTTTCATTTTTGGCAAAACTTGGCAACTGGGACTCAAGCCCATATTTTCAGCAACTTTAAAAATTCACAAATTTAATTGGAATCAGCTTTAATGTTCTATGCAACATAACTACATGTATATGAAGGAAAAATAATTTAAAATAGAGACTTCTCTTTTTGCAATTTTTGGAGCAGTTTTTGAGCAACTTTACAATCCACTAATGAAAAACTGCATGAGCACAATGCCTCATGTACAATAAAGAAATTAACAGTATTGCCTTACTTGAAAGAATTGATGATTCCGAAACATGACCATCAAAACAACTAAAGGTATCAATAATATCAGACCCAGTAAGAAAATGATCGCCAGGACCCCCAGAACAATGTGTGATACATCTCTGAAGCACTGAATGTTACCATCTAAATACCAACGCTATATAATAAAACAAAAATAAGTATAAAAAATCTTTAGAATCAACTAGAGTATTTATTTGGCACCCCCAAAGTATAGGCTCAAAAGACACCGAAAGTATATGAACTAGAGACTCCTAATATATCTACAGGGTGCTCTAAAATAAAAAAAACCCACCATTCTAATCCCTAAACCCTAAAACAATAGAATATTGCTAATATGTATACATTGTGTAAAAAATACAAACTCAATCAGAATCAGCTCAAACTTTCTACACAACATAAGAACATGTATATGTATCAGAAAATGTAATAAAATTGAGAATTCTATACTTTTCAATTTTGATGAAATTTGGCCAAAAGGGACTTTTGCCCCATTTGGGAGTAACTTCAAAAATGTGTAAAAAATCCAAAATTACCTCAAACTTTTAAGATAAGTATATGCATACAGAGCACTCTCTCTCATATGAAAGAAGGTAGTATTAATTTGTTTGTATTGGTAAATAGATTAAACGCAACAATAACTACTAATAACTACTAACGAATATTAATAACAAGTTCACTATAGTTCAGTTCAATAAAGTACCAATCTGCCGTTGTTGCTATCACAAACATACATGACTCCATTACTGTCAAACGCAATTCCTTTGGGGCAAACAAACTGGTCAATATTACTGCCACGCTCTCCAAAACAACAAACAAAATCACCTCCAAAAGTGAAAACTGAGATACGATGATTGCCAAGTTCTGCTACATACAGGAGGTTACCAGGACCAACAGCAATACCATGAGGAAGAAACAGCTCCCCAGGAGCAAATCCCTTCTTGCCAAAAGAAGAGACATATTCGCCATGATGAGTAAACTTTTGAATTCTGTTATCAAAGCCATCAGTGACATAGAGAAAATCTTCACCATCAATGACTACTAATGCCATACCATTGACATTACTAAACTCACGAATACTTTCAGGAGAAATACCATTAACATTACCATCAGCTGGCATAGGTTTAACGGTTTTGGACCTCCATTGAAAAGAACGAATGAATCTCAGATCAGAAGACAATATATGAACTTTGTCCTTATCAGCAATGTATATGAACCCAGTGACAAAAGAGGCTGCAACACAACTGGGGCTACTCATAAAACTGATAGGATCAGACATTTTCTTACATAATGAACCATTTAAATGTAAAATTTCAATTGATTTCTTTGATACAAGAATGGCATAATTACTGGATGATAAGCAAACATAGCAAGCGGCATCATCAGATTTCACAACAGAAAGAGGTTTATTGGGTGGACAGAAATATTTGGCAGTGAAACTAGCTTTATACACTGTACACCAGTACTGAGTGAATAGAACAATGCCATTTTGGCCTCCAGCAACATTAGAACAGTGCTGTAGCCCACACATAGCACGAGATGGAGTAATGGTATCAAAATGAGGATTAAACGGAACAACTAGAGATTCAAGATCAAGTTGTACATCAAAAACACAAACTGATAAAGAATGAGCACCACAAGACAATGGAGAACAATGAACTTGATACACTCCAGGAGAATCAGTCAGCTTGATCTTATACTCTTTATTATGCTCCTTGCCTTTGACAACTGGAATTAAACTACACTTCAATGAAGACACTGGAATGATCAAATTTTCCCCACAAGTAGTGGATTCAATAGAGAGAAAGAATGAGAGTAATCGTTCATCAGTGCAGTGAACTTTAGTTACTTGTACAAAAAATTCAGAAAAGAAGAGAGCACGAGGAATAGCAACTCCATAATAATCACAAGGAATGGAAGGAGCACTCATTGAATAACATTGAGAAAGAGCATTCAGCTCCGCAATAGACAGCAATAGATGATCTGCTTGAGGAACACCATCAACAGAGCTACTTTCTCCTCCTCCAGTCTGCAGGAAACGGAGCAATTGGTCAATATTCTTCCATTGCTGCTCAGGATCCTCATGGCTAAACTGTTGTAAGTGGGCTTCTCCTCTCACTTCAGCTTTCACTTCACTGAACTGCTCAACGGCTGATAGTAAATTCTGTACCAAAACGATATTAAGCATCTCATGGGAAGAGAATTTGCTCAAATTGTTATGTAATTCAGTGCAAGCAACACAAAGGGGGCTGGTACACATCTTACAATAATTAGCAGCAGTGTTCTTGTGGCAGTTGCCACACTTAAACTCTTTCTTCAGGCTAGAATGTATTTCCTTACACTTGTAGAGGTAGAAGGCAGTAGAAAGGGCAGCTACTCCTCCATCAGGTAATTCTGTGTGCCTGCAACAAGTTGGGCAGTAGAAGGAATGAGTATCTTCTTTTGGTAGCTTCTCGAGGCAAGTCTGACAGAAAGAATGATGACAAGGAAGTGTTTTAGGGTTGGAATAAACCTCAAGACACACTGAACAAGTGAGGAGTTCCTCTAAAGAAGAAGTTGCTCTGACAGCCATTCTGAAAAATGTGCAGTTGTGGACCATAGTGCTGGGCGATATATCAAAACTCACGATATTTAATCGATATAATGCGGTATCGATACTTATCAATATCGAAAAAACTTGAAGAAAATATCGATAATGAGACCACGCCCACAAAATGGTTACATAACCTTAATAAATGGTTAATTAACTATAGGAGTAACATCTATAAAATTACTAAAATGTATTTTCTTGGAAAGTAGATGAAGTAGCTGAAGTATATGAAGCCAAAGAAGGTTTATATAATGCTTTTCAATAATAATTTTTCTCAGAAATGGCTTTATTTAGCCATTTTTAGTAATATTAAAGTTAATGGGTGTGGCTTAATAACTTATCGATAAAAAATATCGATATCCTCATTTTTAGGCAATATCGTATCATATCGTATCGTTTCAAAATTTTCAATATCGCCCAGCACTAGTGGACCACGTGGTTTTGGACATTAGGGTGGGGCCGTGGGTTATTAATAATCATAATTTATGGTTGTCATAGGTTGGCCAACTTTAAAAATTCATTAAAAATATAATTTCGATCAGAATCAACCCAGACTTTTTACACAACTTAGGAATATATATGAGCATCAGATAAAATTATAAAAATGGAGAATTATCCCTTCATCATACTCTAGTTGATTGAATCTCCAGGCATGGTACTCGGCCCACATAACCATTTGCTAAATATTTTTCTTTCACTCAAAAAAACACATTACAAAAAAGCAAAAAGTGGCATATTTCAGATAAATTATCCCCTGCTTTAATTACAATCTGTTCTCTTAGCCACTCTTTCTTATTAATCTACATGTACTACACATACAAGATATAATCTTGTTCTATATCTTACCATGACATCATTACTGCCATTAATGTCTGCTAGTATAGGACAATGGAGTAGCATCATACAGGTGTAGCAGAGAGGAGCATAAGTGACCAGAATGAGGCTCCACAATCCATGAAATATTTTGCGCCGCCCTCTATGATAAAATTAAAAGTCACAATAATAAAAGAGTTTAATAACATTCTTTCATGCATTTACAATGTACAAAGTATGTTGTGACCAGAATGGCAGTACAGCAACAACAATGTGTGGTTTTGACAAGTTATTTTACCAATGTTGTTATACAGGACTTCCTGTTGCAATGTCAATACAAATACAACCAAAAAAGGAATGTGTATTACTGATTTATTGTATTGTACATTATAAACAAGCCTTCAATAATGAAGCTATAAAAGCTGGTGCATCTCTACAGGTCACAGATTTTAGGCAATAACTAATTTTTAATCTCAAAGTACAGCATGACCAAAATCAATTTTGCTAGAAATCCTACTGCATGGAGTGCATGTATTAGTCTCGTCACCTAGTCCCTTATGCATGGATGTAAATAATGAAAAAAGCATGTCTCACCTTTTCCAGCGAAGAAAGAAAAACGGTACAATGAAAACCAGGAAAGGAGGAATGAACCTTGGGAGAAAGAGTAAAACTGACGGAGCTTTGCTCAGGAAACAAAAATCAACAGGAAAATAAAGCCCAAGGAGGTTACCAAGATACAGCATCTGTTTAAGAATTAAGATATACAAATAAAATAATAATTTTTTTAGTCTTACGTATTGTCGAGAGTTCCAGAATGAAATAGGAAAATATTCAGTTGTATAATAGACAGTCTACAATAATAAAAAATATACAATCAAGTTATACAGTGGTCAATTTGATTTTTTGTATGAGTACAAAAATGCTTTTAAAACAGACATTTTGATTGGAACGAATGATCATTGAAATATTGTATACAAATGTATACAAGTACATGTACATGTATATATATATACATTGTACATATATATGTGTATTATTAAAAATTGTTTTTCACCTGAATGTAAAATAAAATTGGCCTCATTGAATGTGGGAATGTTATGCCCAGTTTAACTGATGCCAGCAGTACAGCAACAATAACCAACACATAAACAATAACTACAAAAAATAGATAGCAAAAAAATTTAAATTTACAGTATAAAAGGAGAGGTAGAAATGGCAATACAAAAATAGCATAAAAAATACATGTACATGCTTGTTTAACATACTAAGTATTGCTGTTGCATAATAGATATGGTAGTTTCCTTCACAGCCTTCTTTACACTGTAGTCTCAGTATAGTGACAGTTGTATTATCACCACACTGTCCACATAGTGTACCTATAGAAAAGTATTGAGTGAATCACATTCACCTATTTCTCCAACATGTACATGTACATGTAACTTTTACATGCACTCCTTCCTTGCTGGCTCGCTCTTTTGCTCTTTCTCTCTCGCTCCTTCCCTTCCACCCTTATTCTTTAATGGTGAGATACAGCAAAATTGTATTACATGTACATGTATATGCAAAAAGCTCTATGAAATTACCATACAACCAAAAGCTTTCTAAACTTTTGTCAATGTGTGGCCACAAAATTAATCAGTCATAAATTGCAAATTTTTCCGTACAAACTGAATAATTTTTTTAATGCAAAATAAATCTTTCAGGAATATGCCAAAATAGCAAATGTAGTATGCCAAACTCTCAAAATTAAGTATTAGTTAAAGCACAGTTCCCCGTGCTGTATTTCCAGTACAGCACAGGAGGAACCGTGCTTTTACTAGTTTATGGTCATAGTGCGTGGGTGCATCAAAGGCACCAGCCCTAGTCCAAGTGAAGAATAGCCTAAAGAGAACCAAAAGGCTGAAAAGAGACTGGACTATCTGCTCGTGGAGTCTTCTACATTGTGTGGCTCTTAGGGGGGGCGGTCACAGTTTATACAACAGGAAACCACAAACTGTGCTGTATGGGCCACAAACTGTGCTGTATGGACCACAAACTGTGCTGTATGAACCGGAAGTGTGCTATATGAGATATACAGCACGGGCGGTGCCTTTGATGCACCCACGCACAATACATTAAAGTCTATATTGTATACTACTAACCTATTCTTGGTGGGTGGCACTGCTGATTAGGTTGTGAGTAAGAGTATTCAGTGATGCAGTTATCATTATTGTCATTCATACACTGACAGTATGTGATTGGGCAAGTGTACACATCAAGATTAGGATTACTGTCCTCAACTGCTTCTTCTCTATCGAAACCAGCCCAATAACCATTCTAATAAAAATTAAAACAATTCAAAATGATTTAATTTACATTACAAATGTACACGTATATGCAGTGATTTTTATTAGTTTTAACTTTTACAATAAAAGTGTCTGTACATGTACATTTATGCATACGTCAGACATGAGGTTATAACTACTATTACTAATTTTGGCCTGATTTTGCAGCAACTTAAAAAAATTATTAACAATTTTGATCAAAATTAGCTCAAACTCTCTATACAACATGAGTACCATATTTGCTCAAATAAACACCCTGCTCAAATAAACGCCCATGACAAATATTTTCTAACTATAGATACGCATATTTTACCCAGTATATGTGCCCTAGGATTTAGATCGTCCCAGATAGCCTAACTGTTGGAGTACAGTTTGGAATGCCACAAGGTCATGGGTTCGAATCCACTATAGGTTTTTTGTTTTTTTTATTTGAATTTTCTCTGTTAAGAAATAAACGCTCGGGCATTTAATCAAGCAAATACGGTACATATATATGTATCAGGAAATATTATAAAAATGAAAAACTCTCTCATAGTCATTTTTGATGAAATAGCATGTACATACATGTACATGTACCGTATTTGGCAAAATAATAAATTCCTTACCCTCAAGAGGATGGCATCATGACTCTCATCACAGTCCAGTACAGCAAAAGGATCATCTCTAGCTCCAGTACAGACACAAGTATACTCAGCATTGTTATCAGGGGACACTTGTAGATCATAGCCAGGAGGACAGGGCAATACGTGGAATGAGAGATTGAGGTAGTTGTACTGTAAGAATGGGCAGAGAAAGAAATAAGAATACAATGTCACCGTATGGTGGGATATTTTGAAGGGAGTTAAATTTAGTGAATTGCTAAAATTAATTTTAGTAATTGGTGAATTTTAATTTGGCAAATTTGTGGCCATTTGCCATTGAGCATACACATAATGGCTCAAAATGGCGGATTTTCATTTTGGCAAATGGCTATGAAAATGCCAAATTTGCCAAATTTAAATCCCTCCAAAATTTGTTGCTATACGGTGCCATAAAGCCCCAAATTTTGTGGGTCAAAAATTTTTTTAAAATTTTAATTTCTTATTAAAATTAATTTTTGTCTTAATTGTCATTTCTGTTATAAATCTGCATGCTACCCACGTGATGCAAAATTTTGTTAGTCAAAAATTTTATCAAACAAAAATATTTGCCTGACAAATTTGACAATTAAAATTTTGACTGACAAAAATTTGGAGCTATATACCATAAGAGGCAATTAAATGAGAGACAAAATAATATTCACACACATAAATTTAATAATAATTATGTGATACACTCACTGCAATTCCATTGGGATTATCAATCTGTACCAGTACCCTCTTATCACTGGCAGTGTATACAGTCAGTTGCTGTGTCCTTACACTAGAGGGCAGTCTCAAGGTGTACTCCACCTCACTTGATTTATTAGGATAGACTGGTAACAGACTGGGACTGAATATAGCTGATACCTCATTCTACAATAGAACATGCAAACATACACAGTAAAGAATTATACAAATACATTGTACAGTGCACTGGTACACGTAATTTCAAGGTTGGTTTACAATATTAAACTAGTCCTAACATTACGTTAATGCTGGAATATAATCTGGTTCAATTCTAGCAGAAAGCATGCATTAAAAGGTCAAATCGCCCACACTTTTGATTGAAATCAACGGTACGCTGACCTAGCGTCTTATTACAAATCAGCCTTAACATGAATATACATGTACATGTATGCAATACTCATAATGATTCCCACACATACTACAACAACTCAATATACAATGTACATGTACCGCTTAAGCCTGGATTACACTCGCCAAAAAAGGCAAGGGGAATGAATAAAAAATTAAAATTTGGCTGTTTTTGTGTCAACTTCAATGTACACTACATACATTGTACATGACAGGTACATGTACATGTATAACTGTACATGTATACATGTACCGTAGGGCGCCTTTTTTTCGAGGGCTATGAATTTCGTGGATTTTTATTTCGCGGATTTAATTTTCGCGAATTTATGCCGTCTGCCATCTTGTACCGTATTGATTTGATTTTCGTGAAAGTAATTTTCGCGAATCTTTAAAACAATCGCGAAATCCGCAAAATTTATAGCCCTCGAAAAAAAGGCGCCCTACGGTATCATTAATGACAAGAGTACAAAATACCTAAGGATAGTACCTAATAATGATACCTATTATGTACTCTTGATGATGATAAGAAGGTATTTATACACATATACATGTATTTATCTACGTACCTTTCCCATGTACACTTCACTGTAGTCTGCTGGAGGGTTGAAGTCATCAGTGATGGTGAATAGAGAGGAGAGGGTGGCTCTTAGACTTTCATTCTCGTCAATGACACGAGCAACAAAATATGTTGGATTATTGAACTGATCCAGGCCTGTTATGTGGAGCGTTTTATCTTCTCCTGGTCTGAGCGAAATCTAACAATAAAATAAAGTTTATAGTAATCTTAGTACAATGAATTTTAAACTACTGTCTACTAAAGTTCATATTCATTTATGTACATGTACATAAGTAAATACATGTAAATACATGTATGCCATTAGGAGCGTACTTAATAAAGCCAGTTACACATCAGACAATTAGCCTGCAATACAAGTATTCTCCATATATGGAAATTATTTTATTCCATGATAATTGATCAAGCCACAAAAATAACCAGTAGTAAAATTATTACATATGACTTATTACATGACGGATTTCTTTTGTTGGGTCAAACTTTAATTCTAATCAGACTTTGTGGGTTTTATTTCCGTATGTCTTGTGTTAGACTAAAAAAAGACACCCATCTACATTTGTACATGTACATGTACTCCATGTGTTTTCTAGATTAATACATGTATTTTATTTTAACAGCTGGGGAATGAAAAATTGGCAAACAAAATAAACCCACTGTATGGTATAATGAATTACACATATGTACATGTACATTTACACGTCCATCATTACTCACAGTGCTATCTGTAAATGAGTTCACATCAATGGTGATAGCTGGAGTCTGCATATAATATGAACTGTTGGTTGAATCCTCGTGAAACGTATTGTTGTTTTCACTATTGAAAAAAGACAGTACTACATGTACATGTTGTAATAAACTGGTATAATTGGAAAAATATTTGTCGGAAACAATTCAAATTTTTCTATACACAGCATAAGGACATTAGTATTTAGCAAAAAATGTAACAAAAAATTAAGGATGATTTTGAAGCAAATTTTTGAAAAAAATTGTGAGCCAAATGCAATTTAAGATTCTTCACTAAAACATAAACATGTAGGTGTTCTTTACTTTCTACTGCATGTGGGAAAATGCAGTGTATTTAGACAAAATCTCTGAGCTATCTTGCTGCTGGAAAAAACTTTATCATACATATACACATATATATGGTGCATGAATTCAATCTTAGAAACAGTTTTGCTATTTTTGAAAATTGGCTTGCTTTTAAAAATGCTCATAACTTGGAAATTACTTGTCAGAATCAGCTGAAACTTTCTACACAGCATAAGTACATCAATATGAATTAGAAAATGTAATAAAAATAGGGGGTGATTTTTGAGTCATTTTTTAGAAAAAACCATGGGCTATAGTACAGGGTATTTTATAGAAATTGGCCGATTTTTTAAAATGGCCGTAACTTGAAGAGTTCTAGTTGGAATTAGCTCAAACTTTCTACACAGCAAAAGTACATCAATATGTATCAGAAAATGTAATAAAAATTGGGGGTGATTTTTGAGTCATTTTTTAGAAAAAACCATGGGCTATAGTACAGGGTATTTTACAGAAATTGGCCGGTTTTTTTAAATGGCTGTAACTTGAAAAGTTTTAGTTGGAATTAGCTCAAACTTTCTACACAGCATAAGTACATCAATATGAATTAGAAAATGTAATAAAAATAGGGGGTGATTTTTGAGTCATTTTTTAGAAAAAACCATGGGCTATAGTACAGGGTATTTTATAGAAATTGGCCGATTTTTTAAAATGGCCGTAACTTGAAGAGTTCTAGTTGGAATTAGCTCAAACTTTCTACACAGCATAAGTACATCAATATGCATCAGAAAATGTAATAAAAATTGGGGGTAATTTTTGAGTCATTTTTTAGAAAAAACCATTATAGTACAGAGTGTTTTTTAGAAATTGGCTGATTTTTTAAGATGGCCGTAACTTGAAAAGTTTTAGTTGGAATTAGCTCAAACTTTCTACACAGCATAAGTACATCAATATGTATCAGAAAATGTAATAAAAATTGGAGGTAATTTTTGAGTCATTTTTTCAAAAAAGCCAGTACAGGGTATTTTTTAGAAATTGGCCGATTTTTTAAAAATGGCCGTAACTTGAAAATTTTTAGTCGGAATTAGCTCAAACTTTCTACACAGCATAAGTACATCAATATGCATCAGAAAATGTAATAAAAATTGGGGGTAATTTTTGAGTCATTTTTCAGAAAAAACCATGGGCTATAATACAGGGTAATTTTCAGAAATTGGCCAATTTTTTTAAAATGGTCGTAACTTGAAAAGTTTTAGTCGGAATTAGCTCAAACTTTCTACACAGCATAAGTACATCAATATGTATCAGAAAATGTAATAAAAATTGGAGGTAATTTTTGAGCAATTTTTCAGAAAAAGCCATTAAACAAGGCATTAAAAATCAATAAAAGGGGAGGCTGTAGAAATATTAACATAATTCCCATAATTATATGCTACACCCAAAATTGTCTGATAACATCTTTATACTCTTAAATAACTTACCCAAATTCAAATACTGGCCATGAAGGAAAGCTCTTGATGCTGAATATGTTGTTATAGTTGTCCCGATCACTGCTGTAATAGGAGCAAAGGTCAAAGTAAGACATGTACATTACTGATCCTAGCTGAGCATGATTGCCATGAAAATGTATCATACGCTATAATAAAAAAGAAAAATAATAATAATAATGATATACTAGGTCTTAAAATCAATCGAAATATTAATAAAGGTCCCAATACTTAATAAAGGCCATTTCAATTTGTATTTGTATGTATGCCTACTATGCCATTGTCCTTATATTTTATGCGAAGTTTTGACTTGATTCTGATCACAAAATTTGGAGTTGTAATTAAATGTACATGTACATGTAGAAAGTTTGGCTTACAAAAACAATTGATTGTCTATTACCAAAATCAACTTTGGAATAAATTCTATTCATTCTTAAGCTGTGTAGACAATTTAAGCAAATGATTTTTACTAAAATTGAAACAAAAGCATTTTAAAATTTAATGGCAAAGGCCTTTTACATCTGTTACTAGACTTACTACTTACTGGATTCCAATCAACTGGTGCTGTATTCTCATCTTCATACAAAATGAAACAAAGTGGGTTGAACAGTAACTGAGTAAAAACTGATGGAAACCTTTGGAGATCAACTCTAATTGAAGCACCAAGTCTACAGAAAAATAAAAATTAGAATTAATGAGAAAAAATATTCACTTTATTAATAACATTGATTTGGATTTTCTTTGCCATACCGTATAGCGGAAAATTGTCTTGGCCCAAAATTTTCGTGGATTTTGCATTTTTTTAAAAATCCATGAAAATAAAATTTGTGAAAATTGATTTAATATGGTTCAAGAAGGCCAAAAAGTAGAAAACCACAAAAATTAAAGTCACGAAATTTATTTTTGAACAAATTTGTGAAATTTTTGGGCCACAAAAATTTTCTGCTATACGGTAGTTACAGTGTCAGTAGCAGTCAATTTAAATTGTGGCCATGCAAGCACACATAATGGTAAATGATGGGCTGTCCCGTTGCTTTGTCAAAACTAGCGGCGGCTGTTCATTGCTGACAAAAACGGCTTGAGTATACATTGTGCAACAATAATTTATATTAGGTAACCTGTGTCATATGACAATGCAAGCATAGTGTTAGTGGAGCATAAATAGTGATCAAGCAATGTTAAAATAACTGTCATAATGAGGTTAAGTACATAATAGTCATCAAAAATAACATTGTAAGGATAAACAAAATTACTGAACTGCTATAGCTCTAAAACTATAAGTAATTTTATTTAATAATAAGAAGCATATAGACTATAATATTTATGGTTAAAATAATGAATAGTATGAGTGTACATGTAGATGTATGTGTATTTACATTCCAGTGTTGTTGATAAAGAATATCTGAGCTGTCTTGTATAGCTTCATTTGGGCAAAAGCAGTGAAGTGCATGGCAGCCCCACCAGAAATGGTCACATCATTACCAATGAATGAGAGAGAGCCTCTCACTAGTAGGAGACAACCAATGACCTACAGAGAGGGAAATAAAAGAGAGAAATGAGATTGAAATGGTAGAAAAGAATAGTTGAAAGAGTAAGAGAGAGAGAGGGAGGGAGGGAGGGAGGGGGGAGAGGAAGGGAGAGAGAGAGAGAGAGAGAGAGAGAGAGAGAGTGGAGGGAGAGAGATGAAATAAAAAGAACACATGTAATTACATGTATGTTCATGGACTTACGTAACTTTTGATGTAATCATGTACATGTAGTTTTTCTAGTGTTAATTCTACTACTACTTAATTTTAAATTAGCAAGTTTCACTTTGATCGTTAAGTGGATGGCACAGACATTGTTACATGTATAATTTTTAATACATAAAGGATGGTGAGATGAAGTGTTTAGGTGTACATAAAACGATTACTGTACAAGTATAGATGCATAAATACACAACTATAATGTCAATCAATCTTACTCTTAATGTTGGTCCTCTGTTATCTATGAAGTCATTAGCTCCTTGTAGAGCAATGTGAGTGAAACCAGCAATGAGTGTCCCACCATTTGAATCATGAGCAGTGAAATTACTACAATACATAATTGAGTGAATTATTTGAGTTATTATGTATACACAGAACACTTTCATTGTAATACAAACTTAAACTAATAAGAGTACATCAATTAGTAACTCCACTTACACATACCCACACACACGTATATGTACATGCACATGTACATGTATGTACAGGTACATGTACAAGTACTCAATTAGAAACTAGTGTATGTGGAAATACATGACTAATTTTAAAAGCATTACTCATATAGAAAGATATACAGTATGGTACATCAATTAGCAAACATATCACACACCCATATGTAGATATAGACGTACATGCACATGTACATGCACGCACGCATAACATAATTTCGTACAAGTACATGTACGTTTAGAAACATGTACATGTATAAGATGAGAGCATTAGTTGTTGAGAGAAATATTAAACCTTTTCATAGCATTACGGGCAGATAAGGAAAGACAGCCCTTTAATACAATATTCTAGTATAATATTACAATAACAATAGTAACTTCAATGATAACACTCATGCCAAATTCCCTTGTACTATACATACATACATGTACTTACCAATTCTCTACTATAGATGGTATGATAGTATCTTGTGTCTGTACGTTGAATAAAGAAGCAAATGCTATGGCGGCTCCTTGCTCTCCTTTATTACCAGTAAAAGCTGATCTTCGAACGACAAGGTAATCATGACTACCATTTAATCGAGTCTGTAACGATAGGATCCCTCCTCCAGTATGTGCAGTATTATTAATAAACTCGCTGTCTTCTATTACAGTCACACTCAGTTGCTCATCGTGTCTAATCTTAAGATAGGCAATAAGAAATGCACCAGCCCCTCCATCACATACATTATGGATAAATTTGCATCTCCTAAACTTCAATGAGTGAGCAACTTCCCTACCATCCAGTCCAATATAAACTGCCCCACCAAACGATTCGGCGTAATTATTAAGAAAGTGTATGTCTTCGAAAATACCAGTGACATTTACGTATCTCTCAGTTATTATTATACCCAGTGCTCCTCCTCTTGCTGGGTAATACTGCTGATTAAGAACTTGGCTGATCTGTTGGCTAAGTAACTGAGAGGGTACTTCCCCTCTGTTGTTCTTAAAAGTACAGTTTGTGACATTTACGAAAACTCGAGGAATTTGTGGGTAAGACGAGAAGAAATAGGAGAGAGAGAGACCGGCAGCATCTGCTCTGAATCTTTGGTTGTTAGTAGTTACCGAGTTGTTGATGAAGGACGTGTTGAGTATGGTAATTGTTAGTGAGTTTTTAATGTCAACTGAAGGAGATAGGAAATCTCTAGAGAGAAAAATAAACACGAAATGGTTAATGGTAATTTTGACATGTTGCAGTTACCAAAATTAATCATACACTTATAATTAACATGAATTGATAACATTGAATAAATTAGTAGGTACCAAGTACTAAAATAGTTCCAGGAAAATTAGTGAGTCGTAACTTCTTAAAACATCAATAATGTGTAAAATTAATGAAAACACTAAAATTAGCAATAACAATTCCCCCCCACCATGAAAAGGTATCATTATTGATGTACATGTAGATCTACATATAAATTAATTTTACCTAAAAATGCAGTCATTAATTGTAACGTTGTCCACCTCATCCATTCTCAGTGAGTAACAGCCTCTAAAAGTGACACCACTAAAGGAGACATGGCTGACATTGGAGAAGGTTATTTGTGATATATTGGCTGGAGAAGAGTCTATATCAGGCCTACAGGATATAACAGCATCTCTTTCAAGAGAAATAATACTCAGAGAATAGTCCAGGGTGAAGTTCTCCTCCAGTAGAGTGTATTCTCCAGGAGAGAGGGTGACAGTCACTGGCTCAAGACTTTGTATTGAGAGGAGTAACGTGCTGATGTCACTGCAGTTTAGTACAGGCTCGTTCAGAATAGTACATGATTCACTACTAGACCCAGGACGAAGATTATAGTTAGTAGAGATCACTGTAGGGACGAGCATAAGACAAAGACACAAGCAGAAGGCAACCATATTTTCACTTGACCTGAACTAACTTTGCTGACGGCTTGAGCACCACCCACCAGTCAATTAGACTCCAGGACGAGCAGGATCACATTTATCGACAATGTTGCTAGCTCTTTTTCTCTCTGCTCTCCTAGCCTCCTCTTGTCTCTCTCTTAAAGACTCCTGCCAGGATCTTAATAAAGAGTTTGAAGACTTCCACATTGATCTCTTAGACACGTCCGTAGTCCGTTTCGTATCCCTCCACGAGAACTCGACTGATTCCCCTCCATGTCTCTGCCGTGGTAATCCCTGCTCCAGCCCTCGCTACGCTCTCTACGGTGATCCACAATCTATTTTCCCGGTCGACAACATTACCGTAGTCCTTGGTAGTGGCATTCATAGGCTAAACGAGGGCCTAACTATCATTAATTCCAGCTTCATCTCCTTCATTGGGGTAGAGGGAACCATCCTCGAGTGTGGGAGAGACCCAATATTTGACAATTGCTCTCTCGGTAATATTTTCATCAGTGACAGCTCCTACATCTCTTTCTCTGATATTACATTTCAAAACTGTCACGAAGGTGTTCCGATGGTGCATGTGAAGTGGTCCGACCATGTCATATTCAGCCGCTGCACTTTTCAGTAAGTTTTGGGTCAAAATTATTTTGCTCAGTTGAGATTGAAACTTCAGTTTTATAAATCACAAATAATTTTTTACATGCTTAGACCTATAGCGTGTGTAGCTGCATAAAACACTAGACAATTGTTATTATTTTATATTATTATGAAAGCTGTTTATTTTTCATAGTCTTAAACTGCATATATACATGCATGTACATAATATTGCAAAGAATTTGGAAAAAGAAATGTGCAATGACTATAGGCTCTTTGTCACCGTCATTTTACCCATTCTACTGCCTGACCTTGTTCAGTTATTCTTGTGTACATGTATGTGTGTTCAAAAAAATTGTCTTATTTTTATCATAGGAATAACCCAATGAGTGCCGTCCATCTCCAACAAGTTGATTCTGTTGCTTTCCGTGAGTGTAATTTCATAGAAAACGTTCATCTTGACGATACACTAATTTTCGACAACCATACATCTCAGTGCTATCTCCAGCGAACCCTCTCAGATTCCTTCTTCTTTAATACTGGCCCAACAGCTGGTGCCATCTCTCTATATGCTGACGATCAACCATTTAAGCTGTTGGTATCTGGCAGTACTTTTAATAGGAATTCAGTTAGTGGTGTTCATAATAATGACACTAATATTCCTAATACTCTCCTCCAGCATGGTCATGGAGGGGCAATGTATGTTAGGCTAGTCGGTACGTCGAATGCAGAGATTTGTATTGAGAATAGCAACTTCACTGCCAACTCTGCTCAAGTGAATGGAGGGGCTTTTCAATTCTCGGCTGCAGAGAGAAGCAGCCAAAATGAAATAACGATAATCAATAGTAACTTTATTGATAATAACTGCACGTCTGATTCATGCACAGGAGGTGCTATCAGTATCGATTACTTCCAAGACTCTGTCTCCAATTCGTTTATTATAATTGACTCATTGTTTATGGATAACAGAGCAGGAGCAGGTGGTGCTCTTGTCCTACTGACATCAGTAAACTCTGTCAGTCATGAGTTTAGTGAGCATCTGGTGTTTAGAGGCTGTAAGTTTATTCATAATTTTGCCCAACAAGATGGCTCTGCTCTTAGTGTCTTCTCTGTGACTCCAATTAGCTCATTTCCACTCCCTTTGGCCATTCAGGACTGGTAAGAAAATTTTTGCATTACATGTAACATAATTTTGTGTATTATACATACATGTACATGTACATGTATGTGTAAATTGTCGCAGTTTAATGAAACTTGGATACCTGTATTGGTACATGTAGCTATGGAATTAATTTTGGAAGAGATTGCCAATACATGTATAAAACCTTGTCATTTTGAGCATGCTCAATTACAGTTGCCAATAAATATTTTTGGTGAATCTGACAAATACATGTATCATTCCACCCAGTATATGTTAATTGTTACTTTTTTCTTGATTTGTTTCGTAAGCAACTAAACTTTACCATAATGCATAATTATGAATTAGCAGTGACTATACATAATTATAGATTTGCTTTCAATGAAATAAGTGACATAAATCTTAACCATTATGAGTGCATAAATGTCAGTAGTTTACTTTACTTGTAGGTTTTATACATTTATTTTAGCTACATGTACATGTATATTGTAGTAGAATTATGTATGTTAAATTTTATTTTGATTTTTTTAGTTTATTTCAGAACAATACAGCTCTGAACACAAATCAGAAAACAGCAGCAGTCTCAGGATTTAGGGTCGACGTTAGCTTTCTTGGCACAAACGTCTTTAATAATAACTTTGGTGGTGGTCTTTCAGTTATTGAGTCTCAGATCAATGTTCAAAATGAGTTGGTCTTTCATCATAATTTTGCAACCAGTGGAGGAGCACTGGCTCTTTATGGGAGATGTCTGGTAAGTTTTAAATGTTGCTATTGTGATGTTAGAAATTATTACACACACATCAAGCTACAGTACCAAAGGCCAGAGCCCACACTGTAGTTGATTTATGGCCTTTCCTGTGAACAATATAGCCTTTAGTTTTTGGCCAATTTTTGTCTATCTACATTTAAATTTTTTTCTGTCACAAATACATGTCTTTATGCTGTAAAGTATTTTTAATCAAATTTGGATTTTTTTATGAATTTTTTAAAGTTGCTCAGAAATTGGGCCAAGCCTTTGGTCAGGCCCAATATTGTCAAAAATGTCTAGGAGAGAAATTTTCATATTTTTTTCTTATACATATGCATGTCCTTATGCTGTGAATCAACTTTGAGATGATTCTGATGAAATTTGGATTTTTTATGAATTTTTTTAAGTTGCTCAAAAATCAGCCCAGCATATGCATCTGGCTTGGATCTAAAAATTTAAGTCATTTTGACAAACATCAGTGTACAGTAGCAAATTAAATTTTAAAATTATTACTGGACAGCTATAATTTTTTTCTATTTCTTTTAGTTAAAACTATACGAAGACTCCAATTTGACTTTCTATGAGAATTTTGCTTTGAGAAATGGAGGAGGATTGTACGTGGAGTATGTCAGGACTGACTTTATCTTTGGTATCCTCAACCGTGGGTGCTTCATTCAGTATCAGTCAATAATGGACCTACGTCCACGTGACTGGGTATGTGCATGTACACATGTATATTATAGCATATTGTATTTACTAAATACATTTAAGTTCCCATTGTTAATGTATTGGGTGATTTGGGTCAATTTAAGTAACCCTGATCCTAAAATTGTGGGCTCATTCTTAATGTATGTTTTGTCCTTTTATGTTTTCCCTGTTAAGTAATTTTTAATTAAATAAATTTGGCACTATCTTATTTTTGCTATTTTGATTCTTTTGATCTATTTTTAATTCTTTCTTTTTCATTTCCATGTTCCACTCTTCTTTAATGATGCTATGTCTATGCATATTTTTTTACTTTTTACCTTCGTGTACATGTGCTTGTCTCTTTTTTCTCTTTCTTTTTTTTGCTTCTCCGTACACTCTCCATGCATAGAATACTACTGTTAATTTCATCTCTAATACTGCTGGTGAAGCTGGTTCAGCAATATATGCTAGTGACATGTCCTACTGCAGGTGGTATGGAGATGATGTCAGTACAGACACTCCAATATTCGTACCATATCAAGGTGTTAGAACACCATTTTACTTCCGGTAATTAATCATTATTTAAAATTATGTCTTAGTATGAATGATTGAATTTATTAAAATGTGTTTAAAATTTTGTTAATACAAATGTACTTAAGTGCTAATAATTTACATTTTCTGATCATTTATTAGTACGGCAAGCTGTACATGTACTGTATTTTACTGATTAAACGCCCTGGCATTTATTTCTTAGCAGCCAAAAAATTTTATTAAAAAAATAAAAAAGATACTTTGAGCGGGATCAAACCTCCAACTCCAGGCAAGTTAGACCAGGCTCTAACTACCGTATAGCGGACTTTTTCGAGGATAATAAATTTCGCGAATGACCCATATCCGGAAGTTTGCGGAATTAATTTTCTCGAATTTCCACTAATCTGCCATCTTGTACCGTATTAAAATGATTTTCAAGGAATTTAATTTCGCGAATCATGAAAAATCCGCGTAATTCGCGAAATTTGTTATCCTCAAAAAAAACCACTATACGGTATTAAGCACTTTGGAGCTATCTAAACAGTGGAGCATTATTTTTGGTACAAATATGCGTATCTATAGCTAGAATATATTATTTGGACCGGGCATTTATACGGTAAAATACAGTATTTACATGTAAACAACTGGTATAATGTAACTGCATGTACATGTACATAAAGAAGTTTCTATTTTTGTGGCCTTCAGTATACCATATAGCTTGAAATTTTTGTGGAATGTAAATTTCGTGGCTGAGGGTCTTCCCACGATATTTAAACCCAGGAAATCATTGAAGTGCCATCCCCTTACAGGCTATGTAAACTGTCAACCACAAAAATTAAACCACGAATTACCTCACTAGGAGCAAACCATGAAAATATTGACCCATGAAAATATTGACCCACGAAAATTTCAAGCTATATGGTAATTTGGCAAAGTCTATTTATTTGTACATGTACATCTGGATGTGGGTAGAGGGGAGGGCTCCATAATGTTCTAGTATGCTTGAAATTCTTAATTATGCATGTAAATAACTGTTATCTGTCCATAAAAAAGTCTACATGTACATGTACATGACTACATGTAACTCATAGCGTACATGTAGTGACATATAATTTAATGTTATTTGTACTATATTATAGTGATAACAGGATTGGTCTTTCTGATTCAAGTGACAATACCAGTGCATTATCAACTGATGCCTTTCAAATGACAGCAGAAACTGAGGTACTTTGTATATAATTGTCTCCCTTTTTTTAACATGTATATGCATGTATCTTTTTACCATTAATTTATTTATTAATTACGTTTTCCCCTTATTAGGAGGATTATGATAGTTACAGTTATAATGAGGGAGTGTTGTTTCGTCTTTCAGCACTCGATAGGTTTAACAATACAAGAGAGGCCGTGTGGCAGGTTGATGCACCATTGGAGAATGAAGTGAGCTATTGATATACAATTAATGATCTAGTGCACAACATTCACATGTACCTGAATTCCCTAACTAACATATGACATACAGTACATAAGAGTCTATTTCCTTTGTAAAGGGTTTGGCTTTCAGTGTTAGGGCCCATCAAGTACACTGGTTATGCTACTTACATGTAAATCCAGCAACTACACCTCTTTGGGGCACTTTACTTACATGTACATGTATGTACATCAAATACAGTAAAATCTTCATGAAAAATTGTGGATTACTGTATAAAGTGATGACTGAAAGAATTGATTATTATTCAAAATCCCATTTTGCTATGTACATGTACACATGTATGGCTTATGGTGTTTTAGGTTTCTACAATTTTATAGCAATTTAAATGTGCCTGGGATGTACCATATATCCTTAAATAGAAGCCGCATTCGAATAAATGCCGGGGTATAGCAATAGAATTCAACTGTAAATACGCAAGAGTAGCCCAGGTGTGACTCAGTAATCTAGTGGATGATGCCTGAAGTTCCAGTTGTCAAAAACATGAGGTTACGTGTTCGAATCCGGCTCTGGGCCAAGGTTTTTTATTTTTTATATATTTTTTCGAGATCCAAATACCATTTTAGGAAATAGATGCCCGGGCTTTTATTTAAGGAAATACGGTATAACAATTTAAATTAGTTCAAACCACCTCCCATTTTACATAGTAGCTAGCTTGAATTACATGTACATACATGTAGTAACAATGTACATCTGCTATAATCCCATAGTGACTACTTATTGAATTATCAATACACTTGTGATAACTAGTGAAGAAGTAGCTCTTCTATACACTTGTGATAACTAGTGAAGAAGTAGCTCTTCTCAAAATAGAATCTGTTCTTAGTGTAAGTGTCGCATTAGTAGCGTCTTGACTCAATCATTTCAGAAGTAATTGTTCCTACTAACTGGACAACAAATGGCAGTATCAATTAGAAACCAAGAGCTGAAAGTAGCATTCTTTCACAAGGTTGATTCAGAAGCAGAGCGCTATGCCTTGACTTCACGTGAAAGGAAAGAAGTTGAAAAGATAAAAATGAACAATATCAGGAAAGATGAGGACGTTGACGTGTGGAGAAACATTGACAGTGTGAAGCTAGATGAGATTATTAGAGGCCTCAAAAGCTTTGGATTTGATGACGCCTTTATACAAAGTCTTCGCAATACCCTAGGCAGTGGAGCTAGGACCAAAGTCCATCGTACCTACTCATGGAATTGTGGTAAAGTTAACATTGTGTATGGAGTCTTTGCTGCTGCTCAAGTGTCACGAGGTAGGTACGACCTGGTGATTGCCTATTATAAAATTTCTTTTGATGCTCGTCGCGTGGATGGTAAATCAATCACTGAAGGACTTTTGGAAAATCAGCAACGCCTACAAGCATTGAAATATTTCCGAGCTGAGGCCAAGTGATCAAAAGCTTTTTTAATTGCTCCCCAGAGACATTTACATGTACTTTGCTACAAATTTTATTTTGCTGTGTCTGTTTTTTATTATTTGAAACAATGCTCTTTTTGTTGTAAATTGTAATTGATTGTTTTGTATTTTTTTATGTTTATTTTATGTAACACTGAGGCTATTGAACCAGTTCAGCTAACAGGAAATTGCCTCTCAATGGCATCGCTTCAAAGCTACATCTACATAAATCTCAATGATTTATTGATTAATATTTCAAATGCCCAATAAATTTTCTCAAAAATCACCCCCAATATTTATACATTTTCATGTTTGAGCAGATTTCAATTAAAAGCTATTGAGGTACAAGCATTTATTTTCTGAGAAATTTATACATTCAATTTTATGGTTTATGAGCATAAACATAACGAAACTCAGAAAATAAAATTACATGCACTAATTTATAATTTCATTGATTTTCTTTTTATAGTAATTAATAACAAATAGTTTTGGTCTAGGGCTTGTTTAGGTTCTTATTGTTATTGTTTTTATTATAGTTTAGGGTCATTTTCAGTTTCTTATTGTTTCAAAAGTATTCAGTATTGCCTATTGTTATACCTACATGTACATGTATATATACTTTTCGATTGTTGTTGCTCACTGAATTTTCATTCTCTTTGTTTTCAGCTAATAGCAAGCATCTTTATAGTTACATATTTTTATGTTATATTCTTTAGCCTTTGGGAGCGATATCATCTGAGAGGACTCTATACACCTACAGGATTCCATCAAAGAGAGATCTTATGGAAACTAACGAAAATTCAACCAACATATCACTCACTTTCTCTATCTTCACCATATCAACATCAGTGAGTGCAGTATATTGTAATCATTAATAATAATTTTATATTATATGTATACATATGTACTGTATGCAGGGTTTTCCACAGGATTTTGGCATAGTGTTCAGCTTCTTGCTAGTCCATTTAAAATTGCTCAAAAATTTGATCAAAAACCCTAATACAGGGACTTAGGTCATTTTTAGAAGAGAAATCTTCATTTCAAAAATTTTTTTGGATGCATATACATTATGTACATGTCTTATAGAAATTTTAGCTCAATCCAAGTAAAATTAAATTTTTACAAATTTTTTGAAGTTGCTAAAAAATTGGGCCAAAGTCTCTAGTACAGGGTCATTGGTCAAATTTTGACATAAATTGCTATGCAAGAATTCTCAATTTTTATAATTTTTCTGATGCATATACATGTCCTTATGTTGTGTATCAACTTTGAGTTAATGATGGATATTTTATTAGTAATGGGGTAGTGTTACTTAGTAAGATAGTAGTGTTACTAAGTAGGATTCATCCCAAAACAATATGGCTGCCACTACTTTTGCAGCCTTGCTATACCGAGAAAACGAGCTCCTATGCTTACCAGACTTTATAAAGGACCTTATCTTGACCAGAGGACTCCATTGGTGCCACTAGCGTGGCTCTAAACCTTGTCTAAGAGGAAAGTCAAAAATCGGGGAATCGGCCGTTTTGTTCAGTCACCTTTTTCATTTTCATCTCCTGTCAATCAGTTAATGGAGGGTATAATCTTTGGCCAATTTTTACACCATTATCCATGGTTAATCTGCTAAATGGTCATACATTGTGTAGTTTAACAACTTATGGTTTTGGTGTGTGGTTTATTATTGTTCTTTAGTATAATTTATAGTTAACGTATTAGTTAACCTTAACACTGTCATTTATAGACAATATAAGCATAGATATTAGAGTGAATGATATAACCTATAATATAAGTTAGCAGATTAATATAATTTAAGTTTTTATACTCTCCTCCTACTTTGCTTTATGCCCATCCTCCCTCCTTCCCTCTCCTCCAGACGAATCTAAAAATATTTGATTAAGTAATTTTTTAAATTAAACTTTCACTACAAAGCGAACATACACATAAGGCACTATTAAACTATACACTCTTGCTGAAATATAAAGTAACTATAATGTTGAATATACATTGCAATACGCACCCAATATGTATGTGTATGTACATGTATGTATGTGTACTAATTACACATGCACACTCTCTTATACTAATGCTACTACTACAATGTATATAATTAGTTTGAGTTATATTCTCAGGCCAATAATATGAGCATCATTACAGCTGCACTGCTAGAAGCACAGATATGATTGCAGTAGCAATAATATACCCTGTAAAATACTTGCCTCGACCAGACTCCATTCCCCCACTTGTTGGTGGTGTTGATGATGATGTTGGTGTTGGTGACGCCGTAACAGCACTTGCAGCTTTAAACTCATCCAGTCCCAAAGAATATTTTCCACATTTGTACATTCCTTCAGGTGGTGGTGTTTTAAACCCTTTCTCATTGATGATAACTCCCATTCCCTCCAATTGATGTACCTCAATGTGACAGTGTAGGAACCACCAACCAGGATTATCAGTTTTAAAATACACAACAGCATACCCACCAGCTGGTATTAACAGAGTATCCTTAAGTGGGGCTTTAGATGAGACCCTGCCTGTCATTTCTTTACGTGTAGAGTAATCTTTACCAGGTTTCCATGAAGGATTAGTACATAAGTCTCTCCCTCCACAATTAATATCACTATTGCCAGCTCTAAGCTTTCCATTGCTGTCGTATTCACCAAATTGAATATCAACGACATGAAAGTAATGTCCATGAAGATGTACTGGATGAGCAAATAGAAAGTTAGAAGATTCTGGATTAACATCATTATAATTTGGACCAGTAGCTGATATCACTAATTCAATGGAACGATCAGCCTCCACTTCAACGACATGAGTGCAGTAACACTTTGGGGATATTACTTCATCCTTATTATCGCGGTCACAATCATTGATCCCTAGGTTACAATATTCATTATTTTTAATATCACTTAGTTTGCTTGCATCAAGCTATGCTAGTGACGCTGACGGTAGTTTTAGGTTACGTCCATTAATAGTGCTGGTACGACGTGTTCCTTCGAAACCAAAATTGAAAAATTTCCTTGAGTCACTGTTTTGATTGGTAACGATGGTAGGCAGCTCATTAGTAGGATAATCAGTTAGTAGTTTCAATTGATCAATATGTGTACAGTTAATGTGAAACTCATCTGGAAAATTCTTGAATGGGCAGTTAAGAGCTATACAGTTATCATCATCAGTGCATCTATCTCTAACAGTTTGACTTGTTTTAGCAATACTTTCATATTGGCTGGATAGTGTGTCATCACCACTGTAACTGAGAATAGCTTCTGCTGACTGTTCTGTTTCATAATTTGATGTTTCAGTGAAATTTAATGTAACTGCACGTATCATGAACTGTTGAGTGGAGACTAGGTCAGTCTCTGATTTTGTTTTTAAAAGGAAGTCATATCTTTCTCCAGAGTGTATTATGATGTAATCGACTATTACTGGCTCAATAAACTGACCATCAGTTGCTATAACGATTAATTTATGGCCTTCTATTGAGAAACGATAAGCATAAAGACTCTGAGCACCAATTAAACGAAATCGATACGTATTTCCAGCTATGACATTAAACTCACTTAACCTAGAATTGATATAATTGATACCATTATGTTTTCCTCTTCCATTTATTAGTCCAGACCAATAACGCACGGGCCCTATATCTGCTCCATCTGATGAAGTAGTTCCTGTAGCTTCATTTCCTTGCAGTTCTGATGCTTTGTCAATATCAAAGTACATAATACCAGAGTGTATTTGTGTGAAGAGATCCAGTGAGCTTGACTTCTGCCAGTCTAGTAACGTTAGGGTATGCTGTGCTGGATAGTCATTATAGCCTGTTATATCAAAATCTGTTAATTTACTTAAGAGATTGTTTCTCTGTGTGTTACTCCTCTCCTTAACAATGAGAGCTCCAAAGAGTCCATCAGTTCTCTGAGCTCCACTGTGAGAGTGGTACCAGTGAGTCCCGTATTGTTCAGCTTTAAAGATATAAGTGAAACTAGCTCCTGGGGGTATACCACACTGTGTAACATGCTCCACTCCATCCATCCAGTTACTGTTCCTTTGATGCATCCCATGCCAGTGTACAGATACACTCTCTGATGCTAATCGATTCATTACAGTCACTTTAACTAACTGACCCTCAGTTACAATGAGTGTTGGTCCTGGTATACGTCCATTGACTGCTATAAAGGAACGAAACGTGTACCCATCAACACCAAACGGTTGAGTGCATTTAGCACTGTCAATAGAACTACCACAGAGTGTGTTATAATCAACTGGTTCCCATTCTCCATTATTAATATGCCAGACACTGCCTGCAGTACCTCTTGAGTCTCCAGTATTATCCAGCAGATATCGAGTGAAAGTCTGCAGCATTTCAATATCAAGTGTGAACTCGCATGCTTCATCACTGGCTGTAGTGCACTCACATACTGGAGTATTGTGATTGCATATAACAACCTCAGCAATAACCTGCTGATATGCAATGAGGATAAAAAGACAAAAGACTTCAAGTAGCATTAAAAGCCGAATCATTATTCTATTGCAAACTGACTGAATGATCGATCAGTGAAGTTCAGTATGTATTTATGTGGTGCATGAATCCATATGATGGCCGGATGCTATTCTAAGAAATAGGAGGCTTAGTTTTTATTAATCAATTCAATGTCTGCCTTTGGGGCCATTACCATTCATGAGTTTTGTTATCTCTATAACATTAGACATTATTGATTATGCTTATAATTGTGATCCACTTCTTTTTACAGTTCTGTCTATATTGAAGAAGTGATTAATGTTTGTACTGTTTGTGTGTGATTAAAGTGCATCAAAACCCAACTGTAATTTGAATGTTAGCTGAGAGATAACTGGAAACCAGAAGAGAGAATTTATTGGTTATTCATTAAAAGTGATCACAATGACTGTTGTGACCTGCTATAAAATGTCTATTGCTAATAGTTTACTATACTGTGATTTGTTTTAGCTACTTAAAAATAGATTATAATGATGATAAGGGTTTTTATACAATCTCAGTTCATTGTGATACCTATAGCTTTAAATTAGTTACATGTACTATAATCATTGTACATAATCTTTTGAATACAATTTGGCTTCCATACATGAATTTATCATTATTTAATTCTTCTCTTTTTTGTCGCAAAATTTTCTACTGTACTTATATCATCTATCACCAGTACATTTATGTATTCTTCCTTTAAATAGCTAAACATAGAAATGCAGTGATTATACACAATTCCTGGAATTACCTAGCTTGTTTAGATAATGATTCTTGGGTGGACTTTGTATGGTTTGAGGCAGAGCCAGCTATTTTATATTAAATTTAATGTGCAATTGCTCTGTCAGTAAATCATACATTACAGCAAAGATAAAATAGAAATTATCATCTGAGAGTTGTTTGTTCTAAGTCAATGAGACATTAATTATTGATCTGTCTTGCCAATAGTAAAATAGTAAGTTTAAAAGTTGCTATGCCAAGATACGTTGTGCTACTATACTTTTACTTTTTATATATGTCTGCCAAGATAAATTTATAAATGTGTTACTGAATTTGTCCATAAGCAGTGTTAGGTGTAGTATCAATGACTTGTTCTTGTTGTTCATTGTTGATAGTTGGTAAATCATATATTGGTCCAATGTCTACTGGTGATCTTTCTCTTAGTGTATTCCCTTTATTCTTCATTATACAGTATACAATGATACTAGTAATTATAGATGTAATGAGTCCAGTTAATAAACCAGTGATAGGTACTGCAATAGCAACTGAATGTGTGTGTATAATAGATACAGTAGATACACACTGTATGTACATACAGTAATGTATTAACTAACCAGAACTAATAATGGATCCTGT